GGAAACGTGCGAGAGCAGCTGGACGTAGAATAGTTCCCGGGTCAGGCTTCCTGCCCATCATGCTCAACTTCAACAACGAGCGCTTTAGCATGGCCGTCTCAGCCTGTCGGATGTCCCGGTGCTGCCTGGAGGATGCCATCAGGCCCATTGGGTTCTTAAGAAGTTTGGGGCGTATATTCATGGTCAGTTCTCTGAATGATCTGGTCCCTTTTTGGGGGGTACCCTAAATATGAGGGGCCGCCCTAAATAGTAACCCCAAAAGGAACCACATTTTAGGGAAGTGTCCTTAGAAATCACCGGACCCCTTCCCTGAGGTATGCGCGAGCACGGAAGACTTTCGGCAAGCCGCTTATTGGCCACCAGGCCGCTCCCTCCGACTTGCCGGGGGGGGGGGGGGGGGGGTGCATCTCTGAGCCCTAAACCGGTTGGTTTAGGGTTTGGGGTTTCAGGGTTTCAGGGTTTCAGGGTTTCAGGGTTTAAGGGTTTAGGGGTTTAGGGTTTAGGCCCTAAACCCAATAGCACCCTATAGACCCTAAAGCCCATTTCATGAGCTCTTAGCTGTAAGCCCTCGACAGGTCATCCGGCACAAGCTGGCCGAGATGGCACGGCTCGTGCTGTCCACGCACGGGTGCGCCTCCGCAGGGTTTAGGGTTTAGGGTTTAGGGTTTAGGGTTTAGGGTTTAGGGTTTAGGGTAGTTAACAACAGAAAGGGGGGCAGGATCTGCACAGGAGAGCCACGAATCATGTAGGCTGAATCGAACCCTGAACCCTAAACCCTACACCCCAAACCCTCAACCCCAAACCTAGGATTTTGGGGTTTAGGGCTTGGAGCGGCTCGGGTTTTCTGTGCTAAGGGCTTCATCATGATTCAAGCCGCAGGTCTGTACTAAGAAGTCCCATGCGATTTCTCTGATTTTGCTTAACTTCCAGGGTTAGGGGTTTAAGGGTTAGGGTTTAGGGTTTAGGGTTTAGGGTTTAGGGTTTAGGGTTTAGGGTTTAGGGTTTTGGGGTTCAAGGAGTTTTAGGGGTTTCGGGCTTGTAGGGTTGTAAATGTGCTCTGAAGCAAGCATCAACCCAGCGTCTGCCAGGCAAATAAATCTTTGCCGTTCGTGTACTTACTCTGTGGATCCTCTAGTCTTTAGAGGGTTCAAGGGGTTTAGGGCTTGGAGTTTAGGGTTTAGGGTTGAGGGTTTAGGGTTTAGGATTAGTGTTTTTCTTGCAGGCTTTTGATGGAAGTCTCCCGGGCCGTGCATGCCAACGAGCCTGCCCAGCGAGTGGCTGGGCAGGTCGCCCTGGCAACTTGGCAGCCCGTTAGGGTTCAAGGTTTAGGGTTTAGGGTTTTTCACTTGGTTCAAGCTTCCCTTATACAGTAGCCAATCCCAAAAAGGGTAACCTTGTCATAGTATGGGGGGTTTGCGAAAATCGGGGACCACTGAAATTGCCCCCCCCCAAACAGTAGGACTCCCTCATAGAGAGGACCCCAAGAAGTAAACCCTAAACCCTAAACCCTAAACCCTCGGAAACCACCCGATGGCTACTGCGCTACCAAGGCAAAAGTGCAGTCCTCTCGCACGCTGGCCGCTTGGGCATTAGCAAGTCGAGCCGCATGCCCCCTTTCAACGGTCAACCCTGTAAATTATGTAAACTCTGCAAAAACCTGTACAATGTATATATATATATATATGTATATTATATAAATATGTAAGAAATATATATATATATATATATATATACATATATATATATGTATATGTATGTATGTATGTATGTATGTCTGTATGTATGTATGCATGCATATATGTATACCCTACAACCGTATAAAGCCCTAACCTTGAACCCGCTTCACGGTCTAGAGTTGATGCTCGTCTTGGATTTGTGGCTTTTCAAGCTCACAGTTTGTGCTGTTAACCTTGGCTTGGGTCTCGGCAGGCCACCCTCCACCTTTTTGCTTGCCCTCATCAAGCCTATAAAATCTTCATAACAGGGTTTAGGTCTTGCGGTGGATGACGAAGGAAAGCCAAGATCTCTAGACTTATGATTGTTGAAGCGGTTCCCGGCATTGAGGAGTTCTGCGCCCGGGAAGCTTCGCAGGTACTGGGCGGGCGCAGCGCCTTGCCTGCGGATGATGGGAAGCATACCAGGAAGGGCGATTATACCCTGTAATTCCCTAAAGAGGCCCTTTATGGGGATGAGGATGGGGATTATAGGACCCAATAACCCATCCTGGTAAGGCAGTGTGTGCTTATCACCCTTTCAACTCGCGGATGCGACCTGTCACGATATCCGAGGCTACCTGCGCGGCGCCCATCCAGGAGGGCGCATTGAGCGCTGCTGGCGCGAGGTGGGAGGGGGGTTAGCCCTCGCACAGTTTTGGGTTCAGGGGTTCTTGGGCAAGACCTGTAGCATCGAAAGCTTGAGGTCTGGACAGAAATCCTTTGGATCCTCTAGGGCGAGGGGGTTTAAGGGCGGTAAAAAGGTTTGAGGGTGTGAGGTTTACATATGGCGTGTCTTGGATTTTGGTTATCGGGAACCATATATCTCATCATGGTTCCACTATTTTTCCCAGAAATGATCTGGCCCTGTGAGAGACTATGCAGCTGCATGAGGTCCGCGTCTACGCCATTGGCGGTGGCAGCTTCTCCGATGCGAAGTGTTTCCGGTGTTGCTTGAGCGGAGAACCCTGACCCCGAAGCACCAAACCCTAACCCTAAACCCTGAACCCTTAACCCTAAACCCTAAACCCTAAACTTATAAACAACCTGGCCCAAGCTTTGGGAACCTGGCGCCTTTTCCTTCGTAACTTCTCAGCCTTCCTCTTCCCCCTCCATGGAACTCAATGACCTAAACCCGACCAGCCCCGTAGACAGGCGATAAAGCCCAGAGTTATCTAGGTCCATGCTTTTCTTTTTGTACTATTGCTGTATATACCACACTGTACTGCAATGAAATGAACTGAGATGACATGAAACGATATGAAATGAAATGAAACTTGCGTAGGGTTTAGGCTGGGTGTAGGGGTCCTCGAAGCCCGAACATGAAACCCAAGCCCTGGTGGACCCCCAGCGGAGAAAGGGGGCGCGGAAGCTCGAACCTCCAAAGCCTTAATAGGGTTTAGAGCTTAGGACTGAAAACTCTCAAACCTTATTACATAGCGGACCCTAAACCTTCAACCTTAACTACACCTTAAACCCTCAACCCTAACTACACCCCCCCCCCCCCCCCCCCCCCTCAAACTGCAACCATGGGCAGACCGAGGTGAAGAGATCATGCTGGAACTGGCGTCACGCGCCGCCAAGCTCTGAATTTCACGGCTGGCAGCAGGTACAACGGCGAGGATTTAGTTCAGGGTTTAGGGGCTTTAGGGTTTCGGGTTGTCCTGGTATTCACGTCGAGGCCCCGTCTTGGGTTTAGGGCTCACAGGCTGCACTCTTCTGCCGACTTCTGCCGAAGCCCTAGGTGAAAGGTGTTTGGGGTATAGTAAACGAAGCTTGCAGGAAACTATTTGTAGAACATTGTATGTTGTTTTTTACAGTGTGCCGGCGATGAACACAGTTTCGGCTTATTTGTGTAGGATTTGAGCAGCTTTCTAGAGGCAGGAGGTCCCTGGTCCAAAGGAATTGGAGTCAGACTTTATCAGGGACGACACGCTCGTACTTGCAGCCGTGCTGATTTCAGAGCGTCGAAGACGAAGTTGTCCCCGCAGAGCACGGCTATCCTTAGAACGGCGACGTGCTGAAAGGCTACCCCCAAGAAGACCCAAAGAAACAGCAGCAGAACCCGACCTTTCCCTTGAACCCTAATCTCTGAGCCCTAAACCCTGTAGCCTAAACTCCTAAGCCCTAGATCCTACAACCTGAGCCCTAAGCCATAAACCCTATACCCGAAAACCCTGTAAATCCTATAATGCCCAGAAACCCTTAAAACCCCCAAAAACCCTAAACCCTCAACCCTAAGCCCTAAACCCTAAGCCCTAAGCCCTAAGCCCTAAACCCTAAACCCTAAACCCTAAACCCTAAACCCTACGCACAGTTCAGTCGAAGCCGTGGCTCTACGCCCTGCTCTCGAAGAGGTGTTTGCCCCGGATGGCTTCCCTCCTCGCGATCTTCTAAATGTTTAATTCCGGGGTGCCTCTGCAGGGTTTAGGGTTTAGGGTTTAGGGTTTAGGGTTTAGGGTTTAGGGTTTAGGGTTTAGGGTTTAGGGTTTAGGGTTTAGGGTTTAGGGTTTAGGGTTTAGGGTTTAGGGGTAGGGTTTAGGGTTTGGGGGTGTGACTGGGTTTAGGATACAGGGCACTTTGGGGTGTGGCACCCCGGAGAGGTTCCAAAGAGTCCCCTGGCATTTGGCCAGACTCTCTGGCCCAAAGTCGAAAATGGGAGCCTTGGTGCCCTATACCCTAAACCCTAAACCCTAATTAAGCCCTAAACCCTAAACCCTAGGCCGCGAGCTTTTGCCCCCAAACCCTAAACCCCAAAGCCCCAACTTCCCAAACCCTAAAAAAGGCTCAGGTGTCCGTTTTGTTTGTAGGACACGTGCAAATTTGGGGTGTGCTGGGTCCAGGCATTTCAAAGAGTTTTGGGGCTTGGTTGGGAGAAAGTTAGGGTTTCGGGGTTTAGGGTTTAGGGTTTAGGTTTAGGGTTTAGGGTTTAGGGTTTAGGGTTTAGGGTTCAGGGTTCAGGGTTCAGGGTTTAGGGCTAGGGTTTAGGGTGGGCCTGTTGCGTAGTTTAGGGTTCGCTTTTTGGCATTTCGATCGTAACTCCCCACCCTTCACACCCCGGAAGATTGAGGAATGGAAGCTGAGGTTTTAAGACTCGAGGGCTAAGGGAGGGCTTAGGGCTTAGGGCTTAGGGCTTAGGGCTTAGGGCTTAGGGCTTAGGGCTTAGGGTTTAGGGTTTAGGGTTTAGGGTTTAGGGTTTAGGGTTTAGGGTTTAGGGTTTAGGGCTCAGGGTTTAGGGTTCAGGGTTTAGGGTGCAGGAAACAGAAAAGACCCCCTTCATCATCACAGGAGACTGGCTCGGCCGGCCAGCTGCTCAGGATTTATGAGGGTCTTTGGATGCAAGGGTCAGGAATCAGGGATGAGGGTTTGAGCATCTTGTGTGTTTAGGGTCTAGGGTTTAGGGCAGTGGGTTTGGTTTGTTGTGGGTTTGGTGGGTTTAGTTGGTTTCCAGGGTTTAGTGGGATTAGTGGTTTTTGAGGGCTTAGAGGGTTGAGGAGGTTTTGGGTTTCATGGGCGAAGGGCTTGGGATCATGCAGGCTCAGCTGTCCTTCTCCGATGCCAGCATCGGAACGGCGCATCTTTTCAAAACTCCAAACCCTAAACCCCGAACCCTAACCCTAAACTCTAAACCCGAAACCCTAAACCCTAAACCCTAAACCCTAAACCCTAAACCCTAAACCCTATAAACCCTAAACCCTAAACCCTAAACCCTAAACTTAACATAAGCCCCCTAGACAGACACAGAAAACACGCAACATATGAAAGGCGGAGGCAGAGGCCGAGCCTGAACCTGGCTGCCGCTTTTCTCCAAGGCGCCCCTTTCGGCCGTTGCTTGGGCTTTTGTGTAGGGGGGTCTGGGGTATAGGGTTTCGGTTTAGGGTTTAGGGTTTAGGGTTTAGGGTTTAGGGTTTAGGGTTTAGGGTTTAGGGTTTAGGGTTTAGGGTTTAGGGTTTAGGGTTTAGGGCGTCTCGCCGCGCAGCGGCAGTAAGTACCATGTGGAAATTTCGCGCGTGCACACCCAGGGGGTGTGGGGCGGCGGCATGTCACGCGAAGGCGCTTGTTTTCAATGCAGTCCAACAATTTTCATTGGTGCTGGCTTCTTTCTCCGAGCCCGCTGTGAGCTCTCACAGGCCACCACCCAAACCATTGCCCTTTAGAGTTTGGGGCTTTCGCCCTCAATCCCCACCATTGTCTCCAACTTTCAAAGGGTGTGGCGGGGAGGGTCGGTGGGCCAGGCAGGTCGGGTATTCTCATCAAGAGGAGGATCGTGGGGGTGCTCCTTGTAAGTATAAGGCACCACGTGAGTGGTCCCAAAGCAAGGCTCAGCCCAAGGGGCTGAATTCGACCACTCTCCAATGACTCCACCCATTGTCCATCCAGCAAAGGTGTGTCTGGACTGCCGGGTGTAGTTCTGGGTCCAGGCACCCTAGAAAAGGGTGGGTACGGCCTAAGCAGGCCGGTGGGAGGAAGAAGAGAGAGAGGGAGAGAGCATGAACTCTATGAGCTCAACAAGCCCTAAACCCCAGAAGCCCTACAAGACCTGTAAACCCTGCAAGCCCTATGAACCGCAGTATACCCCGTAAGCCCTGAAGCTCCGTAAATCCTGCCTATAAGCCCTCTAAACCGCCCTAAACCCCATACGCCCTGTAAGCCCCATAAACCCCATAAGCCCCGTGCACCGCCCTAAGCCCCAGAACACCCTGGACCCTAAACTTAAACCCTAAGGCCTAAGCCCTAAACCCTAAACCCTATATTCATTAAACCCTAAGGCCTAAGCCCTAAACCCTAAATTCATAGACCCTAAGCCCTAAACCCTGACAGGATCTCCTCGGTGGAGTCCCCCGACAAAGCACTGGAGGCTCAGGTCCTGCCCTGGGCTTCTTAGGGCGCTTGGGGCTTGAGGGCGGGTTTAGGGTGTAGGGTTTAGGGTTTAGGGTTTAGGTTTTAGGTTTTAGGGATATATACACTTTGCATGTAGTGTGTGTATATGTAGATATATACATTATAATGGGAACTGGCCTGTTTTAGCGATTCAGTTCTCCACCACACCCTAAGAATAGGAATGGTTGCTGGCAGGTTTGAAGGTTGGGGGGTCGGGGCTGCGACCCCTTCAGCTTTCTTCAACCCCTATAAACCCCATAATCCTTATAAACCCTAAACCTATAAACCCTAAAACAGCTGAGCCTTGAACCTTTTCAGGGACATATGCGTTCTCTCTCAGATGGCAAGGCCTCGCCGGCCATGGCGACACCGAAGTCGCAGCGTGGGAAAGTGGTGGCCAGCCTGGGGCCTCAGATTCAGCAGCAACTCGGGGGTTGAAGGGCTTTAGTTTTTTTTTTTTTTTTTTGGGGGGGGGGGGGGGGGGGTGGGGGGGGGGGGGGGGGGGGGGTTTGGTTTAGGGTTGTTTACGGGGTTTGTAGGGTGTATAGGGCGTATTTATATGGGTTCGTAGGTTTCGGCCACCCGTACCCAGAAGCCTTATAAAGACACGAAGCAAGACCTGCGAGTTACGGGGTCCTGGCTGGGGAACCTTAGGGAACTTCAGGGAAGCTTAGGGAGCCTTAGGGAGTAGTGCGCAGCATTGTAGGAACCTTCCCTAAAGCCTACACCATCGCCAAAGCTCGAAAGGGTTTACGGTTTAGGGTTTAGGGTTCACCCGAATCCCAAATCCACCCAAAAAGTTGGCCGAAACACCTTAAAGCCGAACGGCCACAAGACCCTTTACCCTGTGCTTTCCAAGTTTCTGGTTTCTCCCCGAGTTTTTGGGTTTATGACTCTTGTTTAGGATTCGACCGGTCTCGAGCTTGCCGTGGTTTGCGGTGGCATACCTGTGAACCCGAAGGTTTAGGGTTTAGGGTTTAGGGTTTAGGGTTTAGGGTTTAGGGTTTAGGGTTTAGGGTTTAGCCCCAAGAATCCCAAGACTTGCAGTTCAGTGCTGCAGCTGGGTGAGCGTTCACCTTTTAACCCCCTGAATCCCTAAACCCCTGAACCCCTAAACCCCTGAATCGAACCCCTGAACCCCTAAACCCTAAACCCCCTAAACCCCCCTCAATTAAAGCCCCTGAAGCCCTAGAGCCCGAAGTCAAACGAATCCAACCCATGAGCCTTTCACCCCTCACAAAACAGGAGCTACCCTGATCTGTAGGATTTCGGGTTTAGGGTTTAAGGCCAGGGTTGAGGGTTTAGGGTTTAGGGTTTAGGGTTTAATTAGGGTTTAGGGTTTAGGGTTTAGGGTCCAGGGTTTAGGGTGCTCTCTAACCCTTAGCCTTACAGCCGAATTCTTCCACACCAAACCCTGGAAACCTTAAGCCCGACAGACCCCAAGCAGCAAGACCCCCAAGAGCCCTAAACTCCCTAGAAGCCCCAATAGGGTTTAGGGTTTAGGGGTCTTGGTTTAGGGTTGAGGGTTGAGGGTTGAGGGTTGTGAGGGTTGAGGGTTGAGGGTTGAGGGTTTGGGGTGTACTGTTTGCTAAACAGCCGGTTGCCATCCCAAATCTCGATCCCAGCTCGCGCGGCGCGCGCGCGGGCCAGCAGTGCCACCGCAAACCGGCGGAGGTGCGTCGTGCTTACTATATCGGTTTAGGGTTTATAGGGTTTAGGGACTAGGGTTTAGGGTTTAGGGTTTAGGGTTCAGGGTTCAGGGTTTAGGGTTTAGGTTTAGGGTTTAGGTTTAGGGTTTAGGGTTTAGGGTTTAGGGTTTAGGGTTTAGGGTTTAGGGTTTAGAGGATATTAAAAATATTCTTTTAAATAAGGTTCTAAGGGGAGTATAGCTTAGGGCTTCTGAGGGCTGGGCGGTCTGAGGGTAGTTTCATGGGCCCTTAAGAAGGTCCCAAACCTCCTTTAAGGGGTTCTGATGTATGGGACCTGAATTTGTATAGGGTATTGAGGTTTGAGAGGGCTTTGGGTTTGGGGCTTCGGGGTTTGGGGGCTTTGAAGTTCGAGGGTTCGCCGAAAGCCTAAGCCAGAGGCCCTGAAGCCTCAAGCCTTGCAAGCCCTATGGCAGGGTTGAGGGAGCCCGCAACCCACAACCCCAAAGCCTTGTAAGCCTCAAAACAACGAGCAGCCACAAGCCCCAGTCAGCCCGAATCAAACACCCTCAAGCCCTAAACTTCCCTAAGCCCAACTCAAAATTCTACGGTGGCCTACGGTCCCAAACTCCTTGGCATCTTAAAGGCCTACAGCCCCTGAACCCCACAGCTCCAAAGCCCGGTTCGGGTTTCGGGTTTAGGGTAAAGGGTTTCGGGCCAATGTGCTGCAGGATGTTGCAAGTGCCTGAGGGGATTCGTAGACGAAGGCTGAGTATCAGAAGGATTCGGGTTGAGGGTTGAGGGTTTGCGCGCAGAAGTCCAGAAGCGATGACAGCTTCGCATTTGACCCATTTGACGAACATGGATGTCCGCACAAGCGACGGCAAGTTTTCCCAACGACAGTTTCGAGGACGGCGGGCGCGGGCGTGCATGCCCGTGCCTAGACGAGAGCGCGATTCTTGTTCTCTCAAGCAACAGACAGGATCCCAGCCCCTTGATGTTAACACACTGTTTTGGGGAACAAACCCGTAAACAAGCCCTAAAACCCGAGAAGCCCTGAATGCCGAAAGCCCTACATTAGTCCCGAAACCTATGCAAGCCTCGTTTTATGGGTTTGTTACCTTCTGAACCCCCTCTCAAGCAAGCAAGGGCACCTTCCTTGCTTAGGTTGCTGTGCTGAATTGAGTCTTCAAACCCTAGCACACGCACACTCTGAATCCTAGGATCTCCGGCCCTAAGCACCCTAAACCCTAAACCCTGAACACGTAAAATTGCGAGATGCTGCTGGCTTCAGGATCACAGCCAGGCCTACCACCTTGGCCGCTGGGCACGCGCCAGCGCAGGCACTTGAGGGTTTTGGGGCTTATAGGGTTTATAGGGTTTATAGGGTTTATAGGGCTTATAGGATTATAGGGTTTATAGGGTTTATGGGGCTCGCAGGGTTTATAGGGTTTAGGGTCTGGGATTTGGAGCTTGGGGTTTTGGGATCGGGTTTGGTGTCCCGGTCTTCCAGGATCCCGAGGCTCTAGAATTGGCTTGTGGTCGGCATTGGCCTAAACCCTAAACCCTAAACCCTAAACCCTAAACCCTAAACCCTAAACCCTAAAACCCTAAACCCTAAACCCTGACACTCTGCTCAGAGAGTCCTTGAAGCCTTCAGCCCACGGTTTCAAAGCCCGCCGCACCCCAAACCCAACACTCTCAGCCCCCAACCACAAACCTTGAACCCAAAACCCTTTAGACCCTAAACTCCAAAAGCCCCAAGCCCCAAAACCCCAACCCTAAACCACCAACCTGAAACCCCCTAAACCTTAAACCCCCTAAACCCCCTAAACCCACTAACCCCCCTAAACCCCCTAAACCCTAAACACGAACCCCAAACCACCAACCTGAAGCCTCCACCGCGCCCAAACGCAGGCTGCCTTGCGGACGCCCGCGGCTCCTGTCCACGTCTCTGAGCCAACACCGCCGGAGACCCGGGCATGTCCGCCTAGCTGGGGTTTGGGGTTTAGGGTTTAGGGTTTCGGGTTTAGGGTTTAGGGTTTGGGGTTTAGGGTCTGGGGTTTGTGGTTTTGGTGTTTGGGGGTTGGGGGTTTGGAGGGTTGGGGGGTTGGGGGATTTCGGATTTGGGGGGGTTTCCGGAAATCCGGGAAGTTCCTATAAGAACGATTCGAGTATTTGGTGGTGCATCATTGGGGTACATGAGTGGGTCCTGCAGGTAGGGTTTAGGGTTTAGGGTTTAGGGTTTAGGGTTTAGGGTTTAGGGTTTAGGGTTTAGGGTTTAGGGTTTAGGGTTTAGGGTTTAGGGTTCAGGTGATTGAGGGCCTTCGAAGCGTAGTTTGGGGGTTTTAGGGGTGGAGGTTATTGGCGGGATGTGGGGCTTCGGGTTCTTGGGAGGTTTGGGGGTTTAGGGTTTAGGGTTTAGGGTTTAGGGTTTAGGGTTTAGGGGGGTTGCATTTTGCCATCCCCGATGTGGGCCCCTGCTCAGGTACCAGGGTAGGTCCTCGCTGGCCTGCTGCCTGACCTCTCAACACTGAACCTCTTTTGGGGGTGGGGGTGGGAATCTGAACCACGCCAAGCCCACACCACACAGAGGGTTTAGGGTTTAGGGCTTGAATTGCAGGTTTTGGTTCTAGTGCCCCCTTTGAATCCTGCTTCTGTCCAAGGGGCCCCCGTTTACACTTACTTCTAAATCCCTACACTCTATAAACCCTAAACCCTAAACCCTAAACCCTAAACCCTAAACCCTAAACCCTACACCCTAAACCCTAAACCCTGATAATAAAGCCTCTCCCCTCTGAGGCAGACGAGTCCAGAGCCCACGGAGGCCCCCAAGCCGGGCAACGCACGCGACCGTGGCTTGGATACGTACCTGGAAGATTGAGGCTTGAGTGCCGTTTAGGGTTTAGGGTTTAGGGTTTAGGGTTTAGAGTTTAGGGTTTAGGGTTTCGGGTTTAGGGTTTAGGGTTTAGGGTTTAGGGGCCCAAACTTCATGCAGCTCAGGCTACCCGTCCCCGAATGCGCACCCGCCGCTCGGAAATGCCAGAGCAGGAGGAGTTTCGGGTTTAGGGCTCTCTTCGTGTAGCACTTCACGGTTCAGGGTTGGGCTCTTCAAAAAAGCCTAGGCTTTTGCTGTGCTTGGTTTGGACATTGCATGCTGTGGCGCGCGAGTTGCAGGGTCCACTTGTAAGGCGTTCATGCGCATGGGCGTTGGGATTTGCTTTTTCCTCCGTATAACTCCAGTTCACGTGGTTCTTAAGGAGGCTGGGTGGTGGGCAAGCTCTAAATCTAAAGCTTGTAATCCAAAAAAAAGAATCCCTATAACCCTGAATGCAAACCCCAAAAACCCTAAACCCTAAACTCTAAACCCTAAACCTGACAAACCCTCAGCCCTAAACCCTGAGCTCGTGTCTACACTTTCTGTAACTTTAGATCCTTACCTGTTTTGGGTTTATTGGGTTTCTTATTAAGGCAGCTAAAAGTTTAATTTATAGCTACCCTCCTGAGTGCAGCCAAGTACAAGTCCTGGCCCAGGCTAGCACTGGAGGCGTCGAGTACTGAGAAGCCAACCAAGGAGGCGCGATGAAAACCCCTGGGCCCCAGATCATGAGGGGCTATGGGCTTAAGTAGGGTTCAGGGTTTAGGGTTTAGGGTTTAGGGTTTAGGATTTAGGATTGAGGGTTTAGGGTTTAGGGTTTAGGGTTTACGGTTCAGGGGTGTAGGAGTGTCGGGTTTACTTGAGGGTTGATGGTTTAGGGGCCTAGGGGTTTGCTGTAGGGCTTTGGCGGGTTTCATTGGGGGTGTATAGGGCTCACGGGTTGATGGTAAGCATCGTGTGAATTGCTACCGCAAGCCCTAAAGCCTAAGCCCACATTAAAGCCCCCCCCCAAGCCTGCTAAAATCAGAAAGCCTACAGTCCAAGTTCATATCAGGAAAGGAGCTCAAAGAACACCCTGAACTCTAAATCCTCAAACCTGTTGAACACGAGTTTAGTATCCGCTATCCAACTTGCGGTATGCTTAGTTTAAGTCCCTTAACCCTAAGCCCCAGACCCTATCCCCACATCCAATCGCTGTATATTTATATGTATATATCCATATAGAAACACACTGCACATGTGTATGTTTGGATTTCTGTGGTATGTTTTGCTTTTAGCTTAAACTTACGTACTCTAAGTCTCGTAACATCCAGCCTGACGCTGCCGACGCCCACGGTGCAGGCTTGGCCCAAGAGGGGCCGGGAGCCAGCTGAGAGCCCAGAGATGCGATTTCAGATGGCCAAGGGTTTAGGGTTTAGGGTTTGGGGTTTAGGGTTTGGGGTTTAGGGTTTAGGGTTTGGGGTTTAGGGTTTAGGGTTTGGGGTTTAGGGTGTGAGATTTAGGTTTTGGTTGGGCGGGTTGGGGGCAATTGAAGAAAGAGGCAGAGCGTGCTGGATCCTAGTGAGTCGCCTCAGGTTCGCGCGAAGCACTCCCTGGCATCACAGTGGGCATCTCAGGGGAAGGACGCGTAGGTTTGGGGCTTAGGGTTTAGGGTTTAGGGTTTAGGGTTTAGGGTTTAGGGTCTTAGTGCAGATTCCGCAACGTGCCGGAAGCTGCGATTGCGGAGGGGTGGCGGCGCCTCAAGAGCCCCCAAAAAGAGACGGTGCAAGATAATCCCTAATGAATCCCTACTCTACACCTAAACCCTAACCCGCCTAAACCCGTACTCTTGTTCCCTTAGGGGGTTTAGGTTCCCTTATAAACCCCTTAATGCAAAAGAGGGGCACGCTTTTTCAATCCTAGTAGCCTAGGTTACTGGGCAACCTAGCAATCGTTGGAAACCCTAACCCCTAAAGCCCTAAAGCCCTAAACCCTAAACCCTAACCCTAAACCCTAAACCCTAAACCCTAAACCCCAAACCCAATGAGCTCTCTGATGAGGTGTGCCGTAGGGCCGAGCGCCTCCCACACATCGCTGGTGGCCCCGGAGCTGGACCGAGGTAGGGTGGTGTTTAGGGTTTAGGGGTTAAGGTTTAGCGGTTAGGGTTTAGGGTTTAGGGGTTTAGGGGTTTAGGGGTTTAGGGGTTTAGGGGTTTAGGGGTTTAGGGGTTTAGGGGTTTAGGGGTTTAGGGGTTTAGGGGTTTAGGGGTTTAGGGGTTTAGGGTTTAGGGTTTAGGGTTTAGGGTTTAGGGCTAGGCTGTAAGGTATTTTGCGTAGAGTTTGAGGATTTGACGGGTTGAGGGGGTTGGATGTTTTGGGGTTCCAAGCTTTGTGTGGGGGTTAGGGTTCGTGTCTGAGGCTCAGTTCGGGTGGGTTGCGTTTAGGGCTGAGGGCCGAGGGCTGTTGATTGATATTGATGAGTTACTATAGGAGCCTTAATACTTAGATCTTTTTTTTTTTTTGGGGGGGGGGGGGGGAGTACTATGGTATAACTTATGTAGGGACCTGAAAGGGATGCTTCTCATAATTCTTCCGACCCGTCGATAGTAGCCCTAAACCCCAAGCCTAAACCCTAAACCGTAAGCCCTAAACCCTAAACCCTAAACCCTAAACCCTAAACCCTAAACCCTAAACCCTAAGCGTGTCCAGGCCATTCAAAGTGACCTGGGCACTCTGCAGGCTTGGATGCAGATCGGTACATCGAACCGCGCCGGTCTTCGAGCGTCAGGATGCCTGTTTAGGGTTTAGGGTTTAGGGTTTAGGGCCAGACCCCCCCAAAGCCCTGGAGCCCTAAAGCCCTAAACCCTGAACCCTAAACCTTGCAACATGTACCGGTGTTTGCCTATGTGTGTGAAACAAGGGTCTTCAGCGTGTTTCCAGGGGTATAGGGCTGACGAGGCGTCGGGCGTTTAGGGCTTTGACGTTTTGAGGGTTTGGGGCTTAAGTTTAGGGGGTTGAGGAGTTTGGTATGGGGGCTTGCAAACGCTATGTTTCTTGTTGCGGGGCTTGTGGCTTAGATAGGTAAGAGTTGTTGTCAGCCTGAAGGTGCGGTGAACTTCGTCGGCTTCTCGCCGATGATAGGATGAGTGGGCCGGAGACCCTCCAAAGACCCGGGTCTGGTTTCAAGGTGGTTTGTGACTGTACGATGCTTTCCCTGCAACCCTAAGCCCCAAGCCCTTGCAAGCCTAGAATCCGACAGTCCTAACACCTGGAGCCCAAACACCCTAAGCCGTCCTTCAACCCTAAGCCCTAAACCCCTGAACCCCTGAACCCCGAACCCCGAAACCCCTAAACCCCTAAACTCCTAAACCCCAAAACCCTAACGACCCTCTAAACCCCTAAGCCCCAAACTCCTGAAGCAGGAGCGCGAGAGAATCCCTAGAGGAACGGCAGCGGATGCAGGCGCCAGAGTTGAGGTTGAGCTTGACCTTCTACTTCCAGGGAACAAAAAGATGGTGTCCTTGGAGGCTCTAGTACCCTAAAGGGTTTAGGGTTTAGGGTTGAGGGTTTAGGGTTTAGGGTTTAGGGTCCCTGGAAGGATATGATAGGGAGGAGAACTGTGTCTGCATAACGAAACTGATGATTGTTGGGTAACTAGGCGGATGGTGGTTGTTCAGGGATCATGGGTTTTAGGGTACCCTAAACCCCAAACCCTAAACTCTAAACCCTAAACCCTAAACTGGTTCATGGCCTCCCTAAGCGCCTTAGTCGTCTCAGTGCAGTTTAGCTCCCCTGTCTCGTCCAGTTCTTCGGTGGGGTCTTTGTAAGCACTTCCAAGAATGTCTTTGACTGCAATGGCAATGCCAATCCCGCAGAAGCTTTGGAAGTGATACCAGTCGCAGCCCATGATGCGTAAAAGCGCTTTAACCTTAATTACTGGAGGGAATGCGGGAACGGGACCAATGGGACACCCACCCAAACTTCTAAACCCCCAAAACCCTAAATACCTTAACCTCAGGCTTGAATTAGTTAGCATGCCAAAAACGCGGCATTGCACAGACCTACACCCAAACCTTCAAGTCTAGGACCTCAAGGAAACCCTTCTTAACCCTCTTCTGGCTCTCTTAATCAGGGACCTTATTCGGAGAGTCCATGTCACCAAGGGTCCCCCTAGTCCTATCCCCTAAGTTTAGCCTGACAAGTTGAACCTCTTGGCTTGCTGTGTGTGGAGTCACGAGCTGAGAGTTTCGGAACCAACACGAGCCGAGGCCTAGACGGAACACCCTCTTCGGCCCCGCCCCATCATCCTCGCTAGTCACTAGACCAACATACATTGTCTTGAATGATAGACTGGCAGGTGCCAAGTAATGTATAATGTAACAACATACGATATGGGGGGTGTCCGAACACAGCGGTGCGCTTTGGGGGGGGGGGGGGGGTTCCTATACTAAGAGTTATAGTATTTGGGGGTGTAGTAGGGCACACCTATTTTGGGAAAGGCCACATAATCATATGAATCCGGACGGAGAATATGTGACTAGTGCACCATGCTTTATCTGGACAGGGACCGTTTAAACCTGAACGCCGTCTTGGCAGCACTACCCCACTTCCAGCAGGCCAAACTCTTCGCCTACAACATTTCCAACGAATTCCTGTTCATCGGAAAAGATAAACTGAGGGAGGCTGGATGCATAGACGTGCCAGGCCCCTACGAGATCACAGATCAGGTGCTTAAGGTGGAGACGCTGGATTGTGCTTTGTCCATGTCCCCAGAAGTCTTCCAGAGCCTCGTGGACATGGCAAGTTCCTTGCGCAAAGACAAAGGCTCACTATCAAAACCACTATCGCCCGGCATTGTGAATGTTCTTCGCTCCAATAAAGGGCACTATAATATTTTAACCGTTTTTGATCCGCTGAAATCAGAAGTGCCGACAAGTGATGAAGCGCCACTTTTGCGTGCAGGCATTCCGTCAGACATTGAGTTGACCTCCCAAGACGGACATAACATTGCGTTCAATCGGCAGATTTTGGAGCACTACGGGCTTATTGACAAGTGGCTTGGTGCCTTTGATGAATCGACCAGCTCGTACCAAGCAAAATTGGACTTCGAAGACATGAAATCAGACATTCTCAACGGTGATCCCGAGAGTCCTGCTGATTCCGAGTCATCTCAGTCCGAGGAAGAGAACCCCAAGACAGTGCCGACAAGTTCGCAGGCTGCTAACACCAAGCCCCAAACGAAGAAGGCCAGACTCGACTCTTCAATTATCTGCACTTTTCTGGTTGGCCCAGGATCTGAAGTGATCACCGCCAATCGACCTGTCCTAGCTCAGGGGAGCCCGGTGCTTTGCAAGATGCTGTATGGGACAGGAGCCATCGCAGTGGATTTCGATAAGCCGATCGTTATTTCCGAGTTCAAGCCTGCCATTGTCAAGGCAGACCATTTGGCGATGTGGAAATGGCTGTGAAAGCCTAAACCCTAAACCCTAAACCCTAAACCCTAAACCCTAAACCCTAAACCCTAAACCCTATACGCTATACGCTATAAACCCAAAACCCTATACCCTCTTTGTTAAGGCCGCATTTGGTGCCCTGCTTTCTAAACACTCCAGCCGTGGAGCCCATGGAGTACACCCCTTGGAGCAAGCCGAGCCTTAGGGACACTTGAAAATATTTTTTGTGTTTTGGGCACTTTAATTTCAGAGAAACAGCAAAAGATATTATTTTCTCGTGTTTTGGGTACTTTAATTCCTAAGAAGCACCAAAAATGTGATTTTTGCTAGGGTTCCAAGTTCGGTGTAGGAGTTGTTGGCTTTCCTCGACTTTATCCAAGCCAGGGATGCGGCTGCCCGCATTCCTGTCGATGCAAAGTACACCCGTGGCGCGTTGATGCACACATGGTAGTGGTAGTTGACCATGTCGGGGTTGCCATTTCTTCTGCAGCAGCTGGTAAGCTGTTCTTCCGACGTGGAAGAAGACCTTGCTGGGCAGAAAATGCCAAGGGTTTAGGGTTTAGGGTTTAGGGTTTAGGGTTTGGGGTTTGGGGTTTGGGGTTTAGGGTCTCTGGCAACATTTCTGGTTTCGGGTTTAGGGGCTGCTACCAAGCTCCTACTCATTGCTGCGGCCTTCCGGTGTATCAAGATGTGTTAAGCAGGAGACCCAGTGCACGTTGTGCCAAGATGTCTTGCTGCTGGAGTAGCAGGTGGTGGTGCTCGGTGCTAGTGGGTTTAGGGTTTAGGGTTTAAGGTTTAGGTTTAGGGTTTAGGGTTAGTGCTCATGTAAATCTGAGAGAAACTTGCGATTTCTCCCTTCCCACCCGTTGTGCGAAGCAACCCGAATCCTGTCGACCCGCAGAAATCAAGGGCAGGTTTAGGGTTTAGGGTTTAGGGGTTAGGGTTTAGGGTTTAGGGTTTAGGGTTTAGGATTCAGGGTTTAGTGTTCAGGTTTTGCTGTCCGTAGGTAGATGTATCTTGACCAAGACTCAAGACCCTTTTAAACGGGCTTCAGGGCACCCTTCTAAGGCCGAACCTGTGTTTGTTGTTTGGGATCCGAAGTATGGGCATTGATATTTCTAGTGTATACAAGGGTTCCACGACAGGGGACCCAAATTAGGGGCCCAGCCCTAAACCCTAAACCCTAAACCCTAGAAGATCCTCTTAATGTGAGGCCGCTCTTCTGAGAGTGGCGTTGCGAGCCCGGGGGCTCAGCTGGTCTTGATTTGGGATGTTGCCCCGTAATACTAACAGTCCTTAGTAAGGATTATAATCGGGGGTACTAGAATCCCTTTGGTTAGTATGAAAACCCTAAACCCTAAACCCTGGACCCTAAACATCCCAAATCCTGATCCTTACAAGCCCCAACCCTGCAACCCTAAACCCTAAACCCCAGACCCTAAACCCTAAACCTTAAATCCTAAACGGCAGCTTAGCCTAGAACCCCAACAAAGCAGCTTCAAGATTCATAGAATGCCAAGGTCTGCCCCAGCTTCCTGTACCGAAGCCTACGAGCACCCTTTGAGTCTTTGAACCTCGCCCTAAACCCTAAACCCTAAACCCTAAACCCTAAACCCTAAACCCTAAACCCTAAACCCTCGGCCTCAGGTTAATGCAGATGATGGCGATTTTGGCTCTTGCACAAGGCGCCTCCAAGCTTGGCTTGCCCAGGATACCCCTAAACCCGAAAACCCTAAGCCCTAAGCCCTGCATCCTACATCCTAAAACCCTAAAACCCTACACCCTAAATCCTAAATCCAAGACCGCCAAACCTCAGTGAACTAGGTCGAAAGATTGAAGCGCGTTTTAGCCCTTGGGGGCCTAAACCTCATGAATCCCAATCCCCAACAATCAGGACACAGCATCAACTACCCGAAGCGTCAATTCCACATTGGCAAGTCCCGAATTTTGCTCGCTAACCCCAAAATCCCAATCTTCAGGATAGCTATATATCTGGATCCTACTCTCCCAAGCCTCATATAGGTCCAAAGCCCCACAACCTTGAACCCCAAACCTCTAAAAGCCCTAGTGGCAGCCCAAGCAGGGCCGAAATCGGTTAAACCCCAAACCCTTCTTAGCCCCAATAGGTTGAATAACGTTGAAAAGCGGTTTTAAGGTTTAGGGTTTGGGGTTTAGGGTTTGGGGTTTAGGGTTTAGGGTTTAGGCCCACAACGCTGAATCCTTCGGTGGAGGTCCTGTTCAGTTCCCTGGCGGAGCCGCATCGCCACCAGCCCTTCACCCAGCATTTTGCTTGATGCTTTAGGGCCTTAGGGCCTAGGGTTGCTATTGGTTTAGGGTTTAGGGTTTAGGGGTTAGGTTTATTTAGGGTTTAGGGTTTGGGGTTTAGGGCTTGGGGGCCAGGTTTGGGCGTGGCCTTTTGTATGGCTGAAAGGAGGCCGAAGGTTCTGGTAGGGGAGCACCCCCAGGTTAGCAGTCTGAGTTTGCTTCTCGTGGCTGTCTATGCTTCGAAGGAGGCAGGCAAAGCATTCCAGCACCCAAAGCCTGAATCTACAGGGTTGGTTTAGGGTTTGGGTTTTGGGGTTTGGGGTTTAGGGTTTAGGGTTTAGGGTTTAGGGTTTAGGGTTTAGGGTTTAGGATGATGTTGACGAGGTGTCTTCCCAGCCAAGCGCCCAGGCGCCGAGGAGGCCCGAAGCGGTGTTGAGGGTTTAGGGCTCTGAGAATGGGAACCCCTAGGGTTTAGGGTTTAGGGTTTAGGGTTTAGGGTTTAGGGTTTAGGGTTTAGGGTTTAGGGATCAGGGTTTAGAGTTCAGAAGTAGAATGATAAAGACGCAGTTGGGGGTCATGTACCCGGGCTTCGGGGTGGAGGGCTTTAGGATTTTACGATGTTAGGATGGTAGATCTTGAACTTTGGGTGTTCATGTTTCAGGGCTTTTGGGTGAAAGGATTGTTCAGCTCGGGGCAATGATGAAACTCATGGGGGTGGAACCCTCGTGTGTGTGTGTGTGTGCTTCCAAGGGGTAAGGGGTCTTGAGAAGTTCGGCTAGCGTAGGGATGACGGTTCAGGTTTTTGGGGTTGGGTTCTTTTGCAGCTGCAAGTCACCCAAGACGGCAATGGATCTCCACCTGTTTGGAACAAGCCTGCAGCTACCAAGCCTCGGATCAGGCTGACGTTAAACTTCGGTCGGCCCTAAACCGTTAGATCGGATAAGCCTCAAGTCCGGAACCTTGAAGCCCTAAAGCCCAGAAAACCTGTAAACCCCAAGGCCTAAGGCCAAGAACCTTCAACAAAAACAAAGCCCTGGGGCTATGTAAGAGGCAACCCCAGAGTCTTGCCTTGAACCCTAATCATCAAGCTCGCCCTAAACCTTATCCCCAAAACCCTAAGCCTGCATTGATCTGTTTGTTTTTTTGTTTTTGGGGGGCTTTTAGTAGTATCTGATGTTTCCTTTGTCTCCTTCATTTTCAAGCTAGGATTATATCTGAGCTTTTTCGTGCTTTTATTTCGTTTGTTAGTGTTTAAGAGAGTACACTGGTCGTTTGCTAATCCAGCTCAATCCAGTTTTTTTGCAACCATGAACAGTGCTCTTTGAGACCAGACTATAGTACTGGTAGTGCTCTATGTTCGCTCTATGTTCACATCTTTGAACTCAGGCTTTTAATGAAATCCGTGCGAACACAATACATGTGCGAATTTGTTGCTTCCATTTCTATTTTTATTTCGTTCACAAAGTCAAGGTGTGAGAAAATGGAAGTCTTCATACGTTCAATGGTGTTTGCTTCGTTAAGGCAATAATGGAGTAGTTCCTGATGAATGAAGACAACCCAAATACAATAAAGACAAAGGGCGTAAATATGCAGCATGTCTCAAGAGTAGTGTTCGGGCAGAAGGAACCCCATTGGAAACATACTATGTGGCGGCGTGAGTTTATAAGAAAACCAGCTAAACCCTAAACCCGAAACCCTAAATTCAAACCCTAAACCCTAAACCATAAACCCTGAACCCTAAACCGAAATCTTCCCCCCCCCCCCTCCTCCCCCCCCCCCCCCCCCCCCCACCCCAAAACTGAGCCAGAACCGAGCTTGGCAGGCTCCTGCCATGGTGGGGCAAGCAGGAGCCGACTCCGTGGAGCGATTGGGGTTTAGGGTTTAGGGTTTAGGGTTTAGGGTTTAGGGTTTAGGGTTTAGGGTTTAGGGTTTAGGGTTTAGGGTTTAGGGTTTGGGGTGTAGCTGCTTTTCGGGGTTGGGGGGGGGGCGGGGGGGGTGGGGGCGCCGGGTTCGAGGGAAATCAATAGGGTTCAGGGTAATTGTTGAGGACATTTTGAGTATCTAGGGTTTATTTAGGACCATGGGAAGTTCACTACAGGGTTTAGAGCTTCGGGTTTTTGGGGACGCCCCCTAAACCCTAGACCCTAGACACTAGACAACCCTAAACCCTAAACCCCAAACCCTAAACTCTGTAATGTGGTCCTTCCGCAGCTTGGGCGAGTCGAGCAGCTAAAGTCTCGATCTTGAGAACTCGGAAAGCTGCAAGCTCCACGGCCTCCACTCCTGACTCTGAATACCCTATTCGGGTTTAAGGTTTAGGGTTTAGGGTTTTGGGTTTAGGGTTAGGGTTTATGGTATACGACAACCCTAAGCTCGAAACTCCACACCAACAGCCATGTGCGAAGCGAGGCCAGCGTCGACGTGGAGCCACTGGTGCTGGTGCAGTGACTGGGCTCGAGGGGCATTTGGGGTTTGCAATAGTAGGGATATTTCCTTTCAAGGAACCGCTACAAGGCTGAGGGGCATGGGGATTGTAGGGACCCTCCCGCTTCCAAGCCCGCTTTTGAGGCCCTGATTGTGCATTCTTTGGTCTAGTTTCAGGGCTTACAAGATTTTGAGAGTTAGGGTTCAGGGTGTGATCAGTGTTTTGGATGTAGGGCTCCCCCTTGTCTCCCAAAAGTGCTCAGCTTTGGACAGTTTTTGCTTGCTTTTAAAAAAAATATGGTGCTCAATAGCTGCTGGACTGGTCGGGCTAAGGCAAGGCTTCATAAGCCCTCAGCCGCTGCTACTATCCCGAGACCTAAAGCTCTGAAATTTGGAACTTCCCTGACAAGCCCTGGATCGTCCAACAAAAACGCCCAAGACCTATAAACCCCAAACCTTGGGATGGCCCCCTTATACTAGCAGTCCTAAATAGGGATTCTATTCTGAAGATCCCCATAAAGGACTGTTAGTATCAGGGGGAACATCCCAACCTAAACCCTCAGACGGTCTAAGGTCTCACTCAGCTGCCAGTTCCTGGCCGCTATTCGGGGTCTGGGCCTGAGGATTGCCTAAACCCTAAACCCTAAACCCTAAACCCTAAACCCTAAACCCTAAACCCTAAACCCTAAACCCTAAACCCTAAACCCTAAACCCTAAACCCTAAACCCTAAACCCTAAACCCTAAACAAGCACCCCTATTACAACCTAATCACAACGCTAAATTATCGTTCTGCGGCGCAGGTTCCGAACAGGCTCCGCATGGGTTCGCACAGGCTCCCCTCATCAGGGGTTTAGCGTTTAGGGTTCAGGGTTATTAGGGTTTAGGGTTTAGGGTTTAGGGTTTAGGGTGATTAGTTATTAGGGTTTAGGGTTTAGGGTGCCCTCAATAGCGCATTGCAACGCGAGGATTGAGTGTTCCACGCCTCATATCAGACCACTCGCAACTTTCTGCAAACCATGATGGGCTATTGGACCCTATGATCCCTTAACAAGGGCCCTTTGTAGGGCTGATTATGGGGATTGTAAGGCCTAATAGCCCATCCAGGGGTTTAAGAGGGGCGTAGGGGATTAGGGGGTCCGGGTGTAGGGGCTTAGGGTCTATAGGGTTTAGGGGCTCAGGGTTCAGGGTTCAGGGTTTAGGGTTTAGGGTTTAGGGGTTCAGGGTTCAGGGGTGCGCACCTGACCTGAGCCCTCAGCTCGTCTCTACGGGCAGGTTTCAGGTCCAAGCCCCCAAAAGCGCTTGAAGTACTTACGGGCTACAAGAACGCACCGGCCCTGTAAACCCCACCCCCAAACCCTAAACCCTAAACCCTAAGCCCCAAACCCCAAACCCTAAACCCTAAACCCTAAGCAGCTAAAATGTGAATGGTTTTGCCCCAGACTCTAGACTTGAATTGGAGGCCCCCTGGACCCTACCTCAGCTCGGGGCCCGAATCCTCCGGGCTGTAGACTTCGGATTTTGGCCTAAACCCTAAACCCTAAACCCTAAACCCTAAGCCCTAAGCCCTAAGCCCTAAGCCCTATAACCCTAAACCCGAATCCTGAAGGCGAGACAACGCCCCTGACACCTCGGCGAGCACAGCCGCAGGTAGAGGAAGTGCGAAGCCCGGATAGGCATTGGGTTTAGGGTTTAGAGTCCAGGGTTTAGGGTTTCGGGCTAGGGTTTAGGGTTAGGGTTTAGAGTTTAGGGTCCATAGGGTTTTAGGGTGCAGCAGTTAGGGTTCTTGCCGTGTTTTTCAGTGGGCTCGGGCTTCAGATTGGTCTGGTCCAGAGCGGTACCTTCGCCAAGGGAGCACACCCGAAACGCTTGGCCCTGCTGAGAAGCCATACCAGTAGCCCTAAACCCTAAACCCCTAAACCCCTAAACCCTGCATGCCCAAATCTTAAACCCTATAAGCCCTAAGAGCCCCAAACCCTGAACCATCCCAAGACCTATTACCCCCCCCCTCCCCAAAACCCGAACAACCCGTCACAACACCAAGACCCTAAATCCCCAAACATGTCAAATAGCTCCTGTACTTCCATAACCCTCAGCCCTAAACCATCCTAAGCCCGATATGAGGGTTTCCGAAAAATGGAGATTCCTCAGTCCGGACTACAGTTTTTTGAAGAGATTTTGCTTGCCCCTATGTTGAGGGGTGCCCGGATGTCCTCTGTGTGAGGATCTTTTTCTGTTCATACCCCTAAACCCTAAACCCTGAACCCTAAACCCTAAACCCTAAACCCTAAACCCTAAACCCTAACCCCGGCTAAGGGCCAACCTGATAACCTTGCAGTTGCTGTTTGGCTTTGAAGGCGATGCGCGCCCAGCTTCAGCGTCGGTGCAGCTCTGTGCCGTCGAGGCAACTGGAAGAGGGTTTATTTAGGGTTTAGGGTTTAGGCTTTAGGGCTATGTAACGCCCTATACTTCTGAGCAGACAGCTTCGGGGCGTTTAAAGGGTTTAGGGCCTTCCACCTGTATGCAGTCCCTGAACCCTAAACCCTAAACCCTACAGCCTAAACACTAAACCCTAAACCCTAAACCCTAAACCCTAAACCTTTGTTTTTGTTGAATCATGACTGGTCTCGAGCCCCAGGCTTGCGGGTGCTGGGGTTTTGGGGGATGTTTCGCAGGGTTCCAGGCATCCGAGGTCTCATGAACGCAGTCCTTGGGGTTTAGGGTTTAGGGTTTGGGGCTTGGGGCTTGGGGTTTGGGGTTTGGGGTTTCGGGGTATAAGCCCTGCACCCCAAACCCTAAGCCCATGCTGGGGAAGATTGCCTGGAGGGTCTAAACCCCAAACCCTAAACCCTAAACCCTAAACCCTAAACCCTAAACTCTAAACCCTAAACCCTAAACCCTAAACCCTAAACCCAAAGAAAGGGGTGCCCTGGTTATTCGGTGGCTACTGGGCTACCAAGACGCCGTGCCAGGCACAGCGAGGCACCCAACCACACAGACGGCTCGACGGCCTGCCTCCCTGGAGGGTTTAGGGTTTAGGGTTTGGGGTTTAGGGTTTAGGGTTTAGGGTTTAGGGTGTAGGGTGTGGGGTTTAGGGTTTAGGGTTTAGGGTTTCAGAAGGGACTGCCGGCCCCAGGACAGTCAGCTCTCTAGGGTTTAGGGTTTAGGGTTTGGGGTTTAGGGTTTAGGGGTTTAGGGGTTTAGGGATTTAGGGTTTAGGGTGTTCACGTCATACATACATCCATCGTTTTCACAGGAATTCTGCGTGATTTTTGTCTATGTGGGTAGTTCACTAAATTCGAGTCTGTTTTGGAGTCCTTCTTTCAAGGGTGCCGTACTGACTATGAACAGGACCCCAAATAGGGACCCTAAGTTAGAGAACTAACCAAGGGAATTTTGTATATAGTTTCTTTTGTAGTATCGACATTTGCACCGTTGTCTCACTGACTTCGCCATGTCAGTTGTCACTACAGCGCTAGCAGGTATAATTGTCCGCCACCTTGGTGACCACATGAGCCCCAGAAGGGTTTTTAAACCCTAAACCCTAAACCCGAAACCCGAAACCCTTAACATAGAATATTGCCATGGGTGAGGAACCTCACACCTCCCACTCTTTAAGGTTTAAAGCCTCCGGGTGCAAGTCCATCGCTTACATAAGGTTGTGTTGTTTGTAGGGCTTGCGGCTCAGGGCCCATAAGATGCTTGTGGTGCAGCTCAGGTCGGTCTGCCGTATGGTTTCGCGGACATACTTCTCGCTGCGAGTGCGTCGTAGGCTCTGGTCACGTTCCACTCTGTTTAGTACCCGAACACATGAAGATTAGGGGGGTTTTCTTTAGTTTCAGGATTCGAGCTTAGGGTCGTTTCGGGGTTTCCTAATGCAACATTGAGCCGAATCTACATCTAGAGGACCTATTCGCCAAACTTAGAGAACTGCCCCATACCCTAAAGCCTAAAACTCTAAACCCTAAACCCTGCAACCTTAACGTCGAGCCCGTCCCAGGGCATGACCGTCGCATGACCAGCTTGCGACGTGCACATTTTCGCAGTCCAATTCCATGGCGCATTCCGATGATCCGGAATCCATGATGCCCAAGTTGCTGGTTCGTGGTTGAAAAGGTTAAGGGGTTTAGCTTAGTAGCTGAGTAGATTGCCTGTCACCTTTTGGGGAATATACAAGCCTACCATGATTGAAAGGTTAACCTGGTTGGGCCAGGGTACTCAGCAACTAGGTTCGCGTTTAGGGTTCGGGTCGGGGATTTAGGAGTTTAATGGGGCCCTTATAGTGCTATCTTTGTTTCCGTTCCTCATGGGCTTTCATTCCTGAAACACTGAACCCGAAACCCAAACCCTAAGCCCTAAGCCCTAAACCCTAAACTCTAACCCTAAATTCTTGGGGCGAAGATCCCTTGGAAACCGTCTAGACAAGAAAGGGCGCCCTTTCTGTAGAACTTGGCCAAGCTGGACTTGCACACCCAGTAGGGTTTAGGGTTTAGGGTTTAGGGTTTAGGGCCCCCTGACATGCAGATGATATTTGGCCTCTCTCAGGCCACCGAACCGCTCGAAGGATGGCAAAGACGTTGCACAAAAAAAGCACAGATCAATGTAAGGGCCCTCCCACTCAATTTTCGGGAAAGGGTTGAAACAACTCCAAGGCTTATGCTCTAAGTCACCACGCCCCAAGCCCTAATGAACACCCTAAATCCCTAGACCCTCAACACCTGCGGCGGCCCCAAGTCATGAGGCGAGTCAGAACGACACGCTGTTCCCAAAGTAGAATTGACGGGTTCACGATTTAGGGTTCAATGTTTAAAGTTCCTAAGCCCGAAACCCCAAACCCCAAACCCCAAACCCCAAACCCTAAACCCTAAACCCTAAACCACACCCTAAGCCCTAAACCCAAAGCCCTGCATATGAAGGCCGAGTGCGGACCCTTATGTTGTCACTTTTTTAGCCCGCCAAGCGGGTCGTGTTGCAGAAGGAGGCTGCTTGCAGCCGAACCCGTTTACCCACTTTGAGTTCTGACTTGGGGTTTAGGGTTTAGGGTTTAGGGTTTAGGGTTTAGGGTTTAGGGCTTCGGGTTTCGGGTTTAGGGTTTAGGGCTTCGGGCTTAGGGTTTCGGGTTTAGGGACCCACGAAGCCCTATCAGACCCTCCCCTGAAACACCTATACTTTCCCCAAGAACTCCCCAATCAACTCACCATTCCCTCGCCGCCCCTCCAAACAAGTGGGGGGAAAAAACTGCGGGCCACAAGTATACTTATAGTATAGTTAAAGCATAGTTATAGTATAGTTATAGTATAGTTATGGTAGAGTTATAGTAGAGTTATAGTAGAGTTATAGTATAGTTATAGTATAGTGATAGTTAAAGTATAGCTAGTTTTCGGGAAACCCGAAATCCTCCTGAAGATGCCTGGTCCTGGTCTCATTCCTCGTCTTGAGCAGCCTCCGCATCGGGGACGTTGCGATCGCAACTTGTATTCAGGGAGTCGCAACGGCCCACTCCATACAGGGGGAACCCCTAGTGAACCTTCACTGAGCCTTTGAAGACCCTAGGGAGATCTTCAGGAGTTGAGGGTTTAGGGTTTAGGGTTTAGGGTTTAGGGTTTAGGGCTTGGGGATCAGGCCCCCTGTATGGAGTCCCCTTGCGGTTTCCCTAGTTGTATTCTATGGTGGCTCTCGCTCCTCCACCGTGGCCATTGGGACACCACGAAGCCTGGAACTCTGAACTCTACAAACCTCAAGCCTAATGCAAACTCCACACTTCAAATTCCAACTATACGGAATATCGTAAGCAGATAAATACATAAATAACCAAATAAATACATATATACTTCTACATATCTCCATACATATATATATATATACATACATATGTGTGTTATATGTATACATGTATATATGCATATAACTGCTAACCTTCTAACACCTTAAGCCCTTAAAGGGTTTAGGGTTTCGGGTGTTGGGGTCTGGGGTTTAAGGTGTAGGCGTCTATGTTGCTGAGGGTGTAGGGCCATGTGTGCCATAGACCTTGACGTATCATGTGGAAGAGCTTGCGGTTGAGTGTTCAGGGCGCAGGGCTTGGCGCTTGAGACCCTAGACTCTACAACCCGAAGCTCTAATGCACCCAAAATCCAAAACCCACACCCTGGACCCCTTAAAAACCCCAAGACATGAACCCTACACAACCTAAACCACAAAAAAAAGCACAAAGCCCTGAAATTTGCCGGGCCTCCCTGCGCCAACCGCTGACAAAATGGGGGGCCCTCGGAGGTGCGACTGAGCGAAGCTGCCAGTGTAACGCACATGCCAGCTGGAGCCCCTCCCCAGTTGCTACTATTTGCTTATGAATCCCAAAAGAATAAGAAATAACAATCCCCATATTACCCTTAATAAGGCAGAATATTGATTTTTTCGGGCTTCTTAAGCAACTAGAAGGTTGGGAGTTGACGAAAATCAAGATATAGACCCCCCAAAGAGTAGGATCCTCTTCTACTAAGGACCCCAATAAGGTACCCCGATTCTCGTACACCCGCAGTCGATTTTCGTAGCGTTTTGAAATGGGGTTGAAGGTTTGTAGAGAAACTGGAGCCTACGACGGGATGAAAGGGTTCGAGGCTCAAAGGGTGTATGGGTTGATTTCGGGAAGCCCCTTTGTCAATCCTCAACTTAGTCGAACGATAACTTGGTTTTGGGTTTAAGGTGTAGGCTTAGGGTCTACAGGGTCAAAATTGCCAAAAAGCCCTTGCATAAGAAGGCCTTTGGGCCCAAGAACCCTAGCATAAGGGTCCTTAGAGCCTTAGGGTTAGGGTCTAGGGCCTAGGGTCACCATGTTTCAATGCGACCTGTTGCAGAGGCACCGTGAAGCCCAGGTCTTGTATTAGGGTCTGCAGGTTATGGAGTCTTGGTTGCAGCCATATTGGCGTATGGCAGATGTATGATTCCGTTAGCCACGCTTCCTTTGCCAATTTCCCGTATGGCTTCAAGCCTGGGCCCGAGAACACGTGATAACCTAACGCCCGAAAAACCCTGGATCCTAAGCCCCTAAACCCCTAAACCCTAAACCCTAAACCCCAAACCACAAACCCCAAACCCCAAAGCCCAAAGCCCAAAGCCCAAAGCCCAAAGCTAAGCTCGAAACCTTGCATCAGGGGGCCTCAAGCCAGGATCCACAGCACACTTCCGTCGTTCGAGTGGGAGCAGCATGAGCGATATTTAGGGTTTAGGGTTTAGGGTTTAGGGTTTAGGGTTAGGGGTAGAATCGCCAAGGTCATGCCCTAGGCATAAGCACACATTCCAATCAACAAGGCCTCCCTCCGTTTTTTTTGATGTGGCGCAGTCCAAGAAGGGTGTCGTTGCGGGGGGGAAGTCCAGCTGCGGCGTGGCCTAAAGTCCTGCTCCAGATGTCGACGCATCTGCGGAGGCTACCATGTGAGCCCGTGTTGTAGTTTATGGGCTTCAGGTTTAGGGTTTAGGGTTTAGGGGTCTTCCCGAACTCAGGATGCGCGGGAATGTCTGGGACTGTGATCACGCCTCCGCAGATCATCGCCATACTTACCCTTAACCCCAAACGCAGAACCCGAACCCTCAGACCCTAAACCCACTTCAGTTGGGATGTTCCCGCCTTATACTAGCGGTCCGTAGTAGGGATTCTAGTACCCCCTATTGCCCCAAACCCTAAACACTAAAACCCTTAATAGAGATTCATTAATGGGGATTGTAGTACCCCCCCCCCCCCCCAATTCCTAAACCCTAAACCCTAATCCCTATGAAGGGCTGTTAGTATAGGGGGGGCCCATCCCAACACTTCAGTTTCGACCACGGAGATCCTCTCGCAATCAAGGCAAGAAAAGGGGGCTCCCAAAACTTCCCTCCCCAAGACGCAGCTTGAATTGAAAATGTGATTTGGGGTTCAGGGTTTAGGGTTTAGGGTTTGGGGTTTAGGGTTCAGAGTTTGGGCTGAGGGGGTGTGTAGGGTTAGTGATCGGAGGTTCAGGGTTCAGAGGTGTAGAGCTTGGGGGGCTGCAGCTAGGGTAGATGAACTGCTCGGGGTTGAGGGTCTATAGGGTTTAGGGTTAGGGTTTAGGGGTTAGGGTTTGAGCCTGAGAAGCTAGAGAGTTGTACATTTCGGACGCAGGAGGCAGGGTCAATAAGGATTTCGGTGTTTCAGGCATAACATAAGAGTTTTTGAAGTCGCATGGAATACACGGAAGTTCTCGAGTAGAATCCTTTTTGGCACTCACATCCGTATGAACAAAGGACCCCCCCCCCCCCCCGTGTGCAGCTTAAATAGGGTCTATTTGGAAGCTGGGAATCGTATTTACAAGAGGAAAACAGGCCCCAAAACGTATACTTATTCACAAGAGCCATGGTCCAAATAGACCCTATTTTAGGTCCTGTAGGGTTGCACAGACAGAATTTAGTTCATTAAATTCCTTAATTTCCACTTTCCCCCTGGAATTTAATGAATTTAATCAATTAAGTCAATTAATTCATTTATTTCCAAAGGGGGGGTGGAATTAATTGAATTAGTTGAATTAATTGAATTAATTGAATTAATTGAATTAATTGAACCCCCCCCCTTTGGAAATACATGAATTAATTGAATTAATTGAATTAATTGAATTAATTGAATTAATTGGAATTAATTGGAATTAATTCAATTAATTCAATTAATTCCACCTCCCCTTTGGAAATAAATGAATTAATTGAATTAATTGAATTAATTGAATTAGTTGAATTATTTCGATTAATTCAATTAATTCAATTAATTCA